TTTTTTTTTAATTTTTTTTTTTTAACGTTTATTTATTTTTGAGACAGAGAGAGACAGAGCATGAACGGGGGAGGGTCAGAGAGAGAGGGAAACACAGAATCTGAAACAGGCTCCAGGCTCTGAGCTGTCAGCACAGAGCCTGACGCGGGGCTCGAACTCATGGACCACGAGATCATGACCCGAGCTGAAGTCGGCCACTTAACCGACTGAGCCACCCAGGCGCCCCTGATTGTTACAGTCTTTAATGCACTACTGTGCAATGTGAATCCCCCAGAGGGGGATAGAGAATGTAGCGTTTTCAAACTTATTTAGTCATGGGACACTTCTTCCTTGGCTGCAGCATGGTGTCTGATTCCTCACACAGCACTGCTAAACATTTCCTATCTTGCATCCGTGTGCATCAGGGAAATTGGTCTATAGTTCTCCTTTTTAGCGGGCTTTCTGTCTGGTTTTGGAATCAAGGTAATGCTGGCCTCATAGAAAGAGTCTGGAAGTTTTCCTTCCATTTTTATTTTTTTGAACAGCTTCAAGAGAATAGGTGTTAACTCTTCCTTAAATGTTTGGTAGAATTCCCCTGGAAAGCCGTCTGGCCCTGGACTCTTGTATTTGGGAGATTTTTGATTACTAATTAGATTTTTTTACTGGTTATGGGTCTGTTCAAATTTTCTATTTCTTCCTGTTTCAGCTTTGGTAGTGTATATGTTTCTAGGAGTTTGTCCATTTCTTCCAGATTGCCCATTTGTTGGTATATAATTGCTCATAATATTCTCTTATTATTGTTTTTATTTCTGCTGTGTTGGTTGTGATCTCTTCTTTTTCATTCTTGATTTTATTTATTTGGGTCCTTTCCTTTTTGATCCAACTGTCTAGTGGTTTATCAATTTTGTTAATTCTTCCAAAGGACCAGCTTCTGGTTTCATTGATTTCTGCTGTTTTTTTTGGTTTCGATAGCATTAATTTCTGCTCCAATCTTTATTATTTCCTGTCTTCTGCTGGTAAGCATTTCCTATCTTAACACACACACACACACACACACACACACACACACACACTTTCATTAAACAAGGAGTTTTTGACACAGTGTGTACCTGAAAGACTTCACAGTCAAAGTACATCCAAATAATTCCCATGGGACTATGACCACTATTATATGGGTATTTGTATATGTACACAACTGGCTACCATTTGGGGAGGGCCGTGTATGGTCCAGGTGCTGTGCGGTATTCACACCTTCCCTTGGGAGCTCGCCATCGGCTCTGCCACATAGGTGTGGAGGGCAAGGGAGGTTCTGGCCTAGGATCATTCAGTGAGCGGTAGCAGGTTAGAGTCTGCCTTCTAGGCCCTTCCAAGGATCTGCCTTGCATGGGCACCAGTCTGCAGGTGTGTGTGCATCTATACACATCTACGCGTGCATACATTTGTTCACACGTGGACGCATGTTCTATGTGTATAACTCCGCACACGGAAGAACAGACCACCCCGTTGTTGCCTGTCTTAGCTACCCTCTGAGGTCCCCGGTTCTTATGTGATCTGCCATAGCTATGGGGTCCACTTTAATTGGCTCTTTCAAGTAGAAGGGATGGAACGTTAGTTGCTTGTATCCGAATGTAGTTTTTACACACATATATTGAATTAGCATTGAAAATTGGAAATTAGAGGGGCGCCTGGGTGGCTCAGTCGGTTGAGCATTCGACTTCAGCTCAGGTCATGATCTCGTGGTTCATGAGTTCAAGCCCCGCAAAGGGCTCTGTGCTGACAGCTCAGCCTGGAGCCTGCTTCAGATTCTGTGTCCCTCTCTATCTACCCCTCTCCTGCTCATGCTCTGTCTGTCTCTCTCTCTCTCAAAAATAAACATTAAAAAAAATTGGAAATTAGAAAGACAGTAACATGTAATATCTAGAGTAGATCCTCTGCCTTAAAGCAGGGAGGCATGTGCTAAGTTTCATGTCTGGCTAATCAAAATGTGAGTCTAAATTTGGGGTGTCTTTCTCTCACTGCTGCCTGCATTTGCTGGCTATTGATTTAGGGTCTGGGGATACAGTAGAAACAAACAATATCCTAGCCTCACAGAGCCCACATTCTAGTGAGGGGAAGCATCAGATAAACAAATTCCACTAAGTGCCTGAAAGCAGCAATTAAGATGCTGTGTTTTGTGGGGAGCGGGGGAAAGGGTGCATTACCAAAGCCAAGAGAGGAGTTTTTCCTGGAAGAGGAAATAGGTATCTCTGCTCAGTGCAAATGAGCAATTGAGGAGGGGGAGAATAGACATGTCCCTCTGTCCTTAGCCAACATGGGCGTGGGGGGCCTAGAACTTTCACACATTTCTGTTCATCTTTATAATATTCCTGTTTTTTTGCCCACATGTTTAAGAAATTTATATATATTGTTTTTTTAGTCTTTATAACATCTCATTTAAATCAGTGTTGTTATGGAAATTAAGGAAGCTGTCCAGGGAAGCGATGAAGTCATAATATGAACCAGGGCCTCCTAAGCCCAGAGCCCAAAGCTGTGTGAAGGCCAGCAGGGTGACTGCGTTTTTCCTTTTCTAGGCTACGGCCTCCGCTGCCATCGGGCCATCATCACCATCTGCCGGCTCATTGGCATTAAAGACATGTATGCCAAGGTCTCTGGGTCCGTCAACATGCTCAACCTCACACGAGGCCTCTTCCGTGGGCTCTCCCACCAGGTAACCCTTCCCTAGGCTCTGAAACAGAAGTTCTAGTTTGTATTTCATATTTGCATTTAGGCCATGATAGCCTGGGGCCACCAGGGGACTTGGGCATTCTTTGTTGCCTATGGCTGCATCAGTTTAAAGTTAATCCAACTGGAGAATTAGTTCATGAAAATTACCCTTAAAAAATACTTCAGGGGTATTTTGAAGTTTCAAAATTTAGTATTTTTCAAAGCCAATAATTATAATCTGTGTTTTTTTACGAAAAGAATTTATGCTTGTTCTATAGCTCTAACAATATAGACATGTAAAGTAAAAAGAGGAAGGCTGTTTCCTAATTTAGTTCTTTCAATTGGGACTAGAGTGAAGCCTCTAGGGTACCTCTTCCCTCTAGAGTGCTGTCTTCAGTAGAAGCACAGGCAGTTTTCAAGTTACCTGCGTAGGTCGTTTAGACAGACACCTGCGTTAGTAGGAACCATGAATGTTAATATGCCAAGTTCTTTCTCTGCAGAGCTGAAAGCCCTGGGCTGCCACCCAGCCTGCCCACTCAGCCTGGGCTAGGCTTGCAATCACTCTACTCCCCAGTGAAGAGGCCCCTCCTCCTAGGTTGCCCTCTTATCTGCTCCAAGGGATGGCGTGTTCTTGAAGGGATGGACCTTAGCGGAGGGGAAGGGTCCTTAGCTAAGGGTAGACCTTAGCGGAGCTGGATGAGCAGAAAAGACAGCCAGGTTCAAGAGACTCCACTTGCTGACCTATTAAGGACTTTGACAGGTTTCCTGACACTTAAAAGTGTGATGGCCAGGGGTGTCTAGGTGGCTCAGTCAGTTAAGCGTCTGACGTCGCCTCAATTCATGATCTCATGGCTCGTGAATTTGAGCCCCATGTCAGGCTCTGTGCTGACAGCTCAGAGCCTGGAACCTGCTTCGAATTCTCTTGTCTTCCTCTCTCTCTGCCCCTCCCCCATTCACTCTCTGTCTCTCTCTCAAAAATAAATGAACATTAAAAAAAAAAAAGAAAGTCTGATGGCTAGGTTTAAATAAAGTGGTCCCTGGACTAATTATACATGCTCTGTTTAAAATAGGAAAGTTAATTAGAAGAAAAAGCTTTAGAGGTGCCTGGGTGGTTCAGTCAGTTGAGCATCCAACTCTTGACTTCAGCTTAGGTCATGATCCCAGGGTGTGGGATCAAGCCCTGTGCTCTGCACTGAGCATGGAGCCTGCTTGGGATTCTCTCTCTCCTCTCTCTCTCTCTCTGTCTCTCCTCCTCCCTCCCTCCCTCCCTTCCTCCCTCCCCTCTCTCCTTCCCCTTCCCCTTTCCTTCTCCCTCTCCCTCCTTCCTTCTGCCCCTCTTTCCCCACTCTCACTCTCTCTTTGAAATAAATAAAATGAAAAAAAAAGAAAAATTTTAGGTGAAGAGATCCTTTTTGAACAGGTGTGTGTGTGTGTGTGTGTGTGTGTGTGTCTGTGTGTGTCTGTGTGTGTGTGTTGTTACTGTCTAAAATATGCTTCAAAAACACTTCTAGGAGGGTCTGGGTGGCTCAGTCGGTTAAGTATCTGACTTCAGCTCAGGTCATGATCTTGCGTTTTGTGTGTTTGAGCCCCGCCTCCAGCTCTGTGCTGACAGCTCAGAGCCTGGAGCCTGCTTCAGATCCTCTGTCTGCTTCTCTCTCTGCCCCTCTCCTGCTCGAGTTCTGTCTCTCTCTCTCTCTCTCTCTCTCTCAAAAATGAATAAACATTAAAAAAAATTAAAAAATAAAAAGCACTTTCAAATTCAAACTGTTAGACGTTTAATTTTTTGATGTAGCTACAGTATTGGTTTTAGATAGGTCATATTTATGATCAAGTAGACTTGTTCTTTTATATAATATTTTTGTTTTAAGTTAGTACTTTGGATTTTCTGATATGATTACCAGGTATCATCTCTTCTAAGATGCTGTCAACTGTAAAATGTTGCATTATTTAATGTGCTATTCAAAAAGAAAAAGAACGTCACCAATTTAAGCAACATGCCATTGATTATAAGATCTGCCAATTTAAATTCTTTTGTTTTTATGAAGCAGCTCATCTTTTTTCTAATTTCAAACTTCTGTAGGATTAGAGAGAATAGTACAAGATGGCCATAAAGTCTGGAAACAGGAGATTGGCATATCAGGTATTTTAATGTACTACCAATAAACTAACTGTATTTCCTTTTTCCAGACTTCTGTGGCTACTGTCCATGATGAGTCCCCTTGGCCCTCTTACCCAATGTCAGCAGTGAACAGCTCATGGCCAATCTTTGTGTCTCAGTACCACCCCCATGCAGCCCAGTCATTTTGAACCAGGCCTCAGACATCACTTTATGTCATTTGTAAATATTTCAGTATGTATTTCTAAAAGATAAGGATTAAAAAGTACCCGTTGGTACTATTATACCTAAAAAGTAACAGTATCACAGTATCTCGAGTTACCTAGGTAGTGTTCATAGAAATGTATCCATTTGTTATATTTTTTTTTTAAATTTTTTTTCAACGTTTTTATTTATTTTTGGGACAGAGAGAGACAGAGCATGAACGGGGGAGGGTCAGAGAGAGGGAGACACAGAATCGGAAACAGGCTCCAGGCTCCGAGCCACCAGCCCAGAGCCCGACGCGGGGCTCGAACTCACGGACCGCGAGATCGTGACCTGGCTGAAGTCGGACGCTTAACTGACTGCGCCACCCAGGCGCCCCTCCATTTGTTATATTAAAAAGAAGTTTGTTACATAATTTGTTTTCCAGAAAAGGTCTGTAGATTGTAAGTTCTTGCCATGTCTTTTAAATCACTTCTAATCTATAGGTTTCCGTCTTCTTTTTTTCCTTGTGTGTGTGTATGTATTTATTTATATTTATATTATATTATATTATATTATATTATATTATATTATATTATATTATATTATATTATATTATATTTTTTAGGAAACTGGGTTGTTTGTCTTGTAGCTTCCCAGTCTGGTGCTGACTACATACCTGTGGTCCTCAGTGCAGGTCTCACCCTGCATGTCCTGTAAAACATTAGCTAGAGCTAGGGGCTTGATGAGATTCAAGTTCAGTTTTGGGCACAGCGTGACACATAATTGGGAGGGTTTGGAAGGCAAGAGACCAGAGGCCAATGCCATTCTTCCAGTCCAGTTGGGAGTGGGGAGATGATGCCATGCACCCCAAATCACTGTGGTGTAGCCACAAAACACATTGCCCGGAATCGACTTTGAAATGGTAAGTCCCCCAAGTGGTACGTGGGAAGTTCCCGATCTTTAAGTTACAGATGTATCTCATAGACCTAACCTGGCGTTCTCAATTTGGTCTTGCCCAGGAAACCCACCAACAACTGGCTGATAAGAAGAGTCTCCATGTTGTGGAATTCCGGGAGGAATGTGGCCCTCTACCCATCGTGGTGGCCTCCCCCACGGGGGCCTTGAGAAAGGATCCGGAGCCGGAAGATGACGTTCCAGACATCCAACTGGACTGGGAAGAAGTGAGGGCGGCGCAGGGAATGAAGCGCTCGGTGTGGTCAAATTTAAAGAGAGGTGCTACGTGAGCTTCCCTCTGGCCTTGCACGGTTGCCACGTCTGGTACTGCCTGGCACCGAGAAGAGACTCAGCCCTTCCCATTTTGGAATGTCACTTTCTTTTTAAAGGAAAGGTCAACCTTCTTTATTTACAAATAATAAAGAACTACACCTTCAATTTATTGAGCATGTGGTATATACCAGTCACTGTGAGAGGAGCCGCGCGCACATATTTTAGTTCAAGACTGCTTTAAATATTCATTTAAACTAGCAAAAGCAGGGGTACCTCGGTGGCTCAGTTGGTTAAGTTTCCCACTTTGGCTCAGGTCATGATCTCGCGGTCCGTGAGTTCGAGCCCCGCGTCGGGCTCTGTGCTGACCACTCAGAGCCTGGAGCCTGTTTCAGATTCTGTGTCTCCCTCTCTCTCTGCCCCTCCCCTGTTCATGCTCTGTCTCTCCCTGTCTCAAAAATAAATAAAAATGTTAAAAAAAAAATTAAAAAAAAAAAATTAAATAAACTAGCAAAAGCAAATGGACTAGGAAGACAGGGCTTATAGATAGCCTGACCTAATAAAAAATAATATGCCAAATAATAATTGCTATAATAATTAAAGCTAATATATATTAACTTTGATTTGTCCAAAATGAGTGTTATTAACTTCACTTTACAGAGCAGTTAAGTACTTGACTAGAGTCACACAGCTAGAAAGTAGAGGAACATGGACAAACCCTGTTCTTTTTGACTCTAGAAATCCTCTTTTTAAACCTTTTTGTATGGCTGTTTTAGTAATCGCTGTATCGGTGTTACGCTGTGCGAATGCCACTCCTCACCAGTCTGCTGGTGTTGACGTTTAATCACTTGCAAGTGTAGAAACTTTGAATCCCTTACCTTCCCTTTCAATCCCTTACCTTCCCCTGTTTCTGTAATTGTGTTTAAATTTACTCCACCTACGTTTAGAACCATAGTATTCTATTTTCTGCTTTAACCATCAAACGTAATATGGAAAACTCAAGAAGAAAAGAAAAAGCCTATTGTATACCCATGTTTTAAAATTTTATTATTTTTTTAAAGTAAACTCTATTCCCAACATGGGGCTCTGACTCATGAACCCAAGATCAAGAGTTACATGCTCTATTGACTTGAGCCAGCCAGGAGACCCTTCCCAAATTTTTATTCTTTCAGTTGTTTCTTCTTTTTTTATTTTTTATTTTAGACACAGAGAAAGCATGAACAGGGGAAGTGGGGGGAGAGAGAGAGAGAGAGGGAGGGAGGGAAAGAATCTCAAGCAGGTTCCATGCTCAACACTCAGCACCCTGGGTGGGGTGGACTCTACCCCAGGACCCTGGGATCATGACCTGCTCTGCAATCCAGAGTTGGGCGCTTAAACAATTGAGCCACACCCAGGCGCTCCTCGATTGTTTTTTTTTCTTCTTTCCTGAAATTCCAAGAGTCTTTCTGTTACCACTCTGAGGAGGGCAACACCCAGTTCTCCTGTGAATCCCCTTTACTGCCATAGTCGCAACACTTCTGACGCCAGACGTGGGGTTTTCCTTCCCCAGGCAATTCAGGTGTCCTGCAATTTAACACACTCCTGATACGCTTTACCTGAAGATGGGGTCAGAGCTCACAGGTTAGGGGCTCAGGCCCACAAGGCTGCCCTCACTCTACTTTAGATGCCAGTTGCAAGTCAGGTTGTCACCTGTGTTTCTGAGTGATCAGCTATAAATCAAGTTCCTACGATACTGTCACTGAGTGATTAATTTGCTCGAGCAGCTCACAGAACTCGGGAAAAGTTTCCTTACTGTTTACCAGTTTATTGTAAAAGGATATGATAACTGGTGCAGCCACTCTGGAAAACGGTGTGGAGGTTCCACAAAAAGTTAAAGTAGAACTACCCTACGACCCAGCAATTGCACTAGTAGGTATTTATCTAAAGGATACAGGTGTGCTGTTTCGAAGGGGCACATGCACCCCCATGTTTATAGCAGCGCTATTGACAATGGCCAAAGTATGGAAAGAGCCCAAATGTCTATCGATGGATGAATGGACAAAGAAGATGTGGTATATATATACAATGGAGGATTACTTGGCCTTCAAAAAGAATGAAATCTTGGGGCACCTGGGT